TATTTATTTAAATATTATGATTTGAAATAAAATATTGTTTTGTGTTCTTCTTCTTCTTCTTCTTCTTCTGATGGCGTCAATTCGTGTGAAAAAAAATTGAGCGTTGGAAAGGAATAATGAAAGGAAGAAAGGAAGAAAGGAAAGGAAGAAAGGAGGGGTCGTTTTTTTTGGTGGTCCCTTATTCTTTGTTGATTCATGAAGAAAGATTAGAAAGGGCCATGGCACACGCTTGTTGAAGGAACCGCCATCTAAAAAGAGGAAGCTCGGTTATTCGCGGCAGCTTCTCTCTCGTCGCACGCCACGTTTCCTTCCGAGAAAAAGGAGAGAGGAAACGTAGAGGGGGCGGTCTGGGAGGGAGGGCAACGTGAGGGCAATACGAGGCGGTCTCAACATTTCTAAAGCTCCGCCTTGCACCCACCAGTAGTAGGCCACGAATACCTTTCAAAACTCTTCAAGGACTTATTATCAGGTTTTTTATTTTCTACTTTGACTTCTTCATATTTCATATATCAAAAATCGAATGTTAGTCTGATAAGCCAATTCCCAGATGAGACTAATGGTTTGCGAAACACCTGGAATTTTTTTTGGTACCTGTTTATATTATACATACTTGTCAGAACTGAATCCTCTGATAATTAGGGGATTTATTCTAATTTAACATGATATATATATATATCCCAAATCCTAAAATGTTTATTAGAGAAATCATAGCAATTAAATCTAATTGATATTTACTCGAAGAGAAATCAATTGTCCATGTGTCTGTATATCAGTGTGTGTATCTGTGTGTGTATTAACGAAAATGGTTTTCTCAGGGTGACTAAGTTATTCTCTCAGTTCTCGTCTAATCGACGTATAACATGGACAGTTAGGGATTTCCGTCTTAGAGATCGATCGATCTAGGGGAATGCAAAAGCTAACAACTCGAGTGCACCACTTTCACTGTGACCGCTAGGGGTCAGCAGAGGTTAACGACGGAAAACCGTATCTGCCGTCACGAAACGTCTTAGGGGCGGTATTAGCATGGGACCTAAAAAGGATCTCTCTTTCTCTCTCTTTCCTTCCTCAAGTACCTTTCTCCTCCCCTAAACCCTAACCAGCTTGTTCTTGTTGTAGTCCTCTTTGCTGGAACACTTACAAAAGTATTCTGTATAAAAGCGTTTTCCTCATAGATTCTTCCTTCTTTCTACCTGGAATTTCGTTAAACCATGTTAAAGTGATGTCTTCTCAAAACTGTACACAATGAACATATGAATAGTATGAATAGTTAAATAAGAAACAAGACAATAAATAAGGATTATAATTATTACGACAAATGTTTTATTAATGAAAATGATTGATATAGAAAGGACCTAATCATGTTGAAACTTAGAACTTTAAGTATAATAGGAACAATATATTTCTATTGTATATGGGTATAAATATTTCAGTTATTAGTTGTATATAAATATTAAAAAATATTGATGCAACATTTTAAAAAAATTATCAATCATAAAATACAAATTGGTACTTACGTATTAACGTCACCGCAGCTAAATTCCGCTAATGCGCCAATCTACACCTTAAATTGTTGCGACAAATCATAGAATAAAAAACATTATTTAAAATCGAAACACATTCAAAATTCAAAAGATTTTATTTATAAAAAGTAGTCAATCGGATTTCTGTGGAAAATGGGCCGATATAGAATTTAACATAGATTCAAAACAATCTCTGTTTTCTTTCACTTGATGCTATCGCCATATGAACTCTGATAAATAAGATTCCAAATGATGTCTTGTATCTTGTTCTGTTTTTGGCAAATCCCAAATACGCATTTTCGTAGCATTAAAAAATAACGAAACCCTGACGAAACCCTGACGGTTGCTATGTGCAAACAACAAGGTTTTTGTGTGCGAACAACAAGATTGGCGCATTAGCGGAATTTTTGCTGCGGTGGCGTTAATACGTAAGTACCTACAAATTTTAATATAAATATATTAAATAATATTCAATAAATAAAAAAAACCAACTTTTTAGTCACTCCCTACTCAAGAAATGGAAGAAGACGCAAACTTTAAAGAATCGTATCGAAAGATATTTTTAGTTGGTCCGATAAAGGTATTTTGATTGCGGATCAAGCGGGTTTTGCACCGGTTAATAATTCTCGAAGCGAAGCGACAGGGACACGTTGATATCACGTTGACAAGCCGTAAATACATAATGAAGTGTGGAAATCCCCGGTGCGATTAAATCCATGAATGCCTTCATCCGTCATCGCGAGTACACGCCAAGCTTACGCTTGTGCTAGCTCTCATAGGTACCCCCGGCTTCGAATTTATAATACATCCTATATATACATATATATATGTATATCATAAATATATATATAACCAAAGCTTGCTTTATGTTCTCTGAGTACTGATTCATCCTGCTTTCGAGACACCGAGAACGAGTTCGTTACGATCGGACAAAGGAAAACGTGTTCTCTCTCGTCGACAATTTTGCAATCGAATTATCGATCGATATCAATTTTTACTTCCTCTTTCTTTTATTTTTATTCTTCTCTTTTTATTCTTTCATGGAAAATATCAAGGAGGTAATTGATCGTTCAGAAAATTGGCCAATACATTTTTGTATATTTGTTCATTTTTTTGTTTTATTTGTATATGTGAGTATGTTGGTTAAATTTGAAAAAAACATTTTGTAAATACGAATAATAATAATAATAATAATAATAATAATAATAATAATAATAATAATAATAATAATAATTATTGTTATTATTATTGATTTAATAATTCAATTAAAATAGAAACAACTTGAGAAGTCGCGTGTTAGTTTTCTTTTTTCTTTTTTGTAGGACTTTTTAATTAATTAATGGATATTCGAATTAAGGGTAGTATTCTAATTAAATTTCGTCACATTTGTTTTTCAAATGTTTGTGATAAAAAATTCCATGCATATTGTTGTTATTAGTTTTAATAAAAAAAAAAAATATTTTTTTTAAATACATGCAATTTCCATAGTGCAGGGGTCGGCAACCTTTTGAGTCAGAGGAGCCAAAAATTACAATTTACAACATTTCAAAGTTTTTAAAGAGCCACAAAATTTTTTCTTGCCAACAATAAATAGTACTCGCATAAATAAAGTTAGTTTTTTGATAAAAAAAAAAACTAATCTATTTATTCATCGGTGCCTAATCCTCGTTAATTGATTCAGAACAATTTTTAAATGTTTTTTTTTCTTTTACTAAACTCTTTTAACTAAAGAGCCGCAGCTTCACATCCAAAGAGCCGCATGTGGCTCGCGAGCTGCAAGTTGCCCACCCCTGCCCTAGTGAGTAATTTAACAATCATTTTTGTAATGTTAAATCAATAAATATAAATTTGATGAACCTGTTAGAATGCATTTTACAACTATGACATTTTTCAATCGAATGGAAACAAAAAAATGAGAAATGGTGCGAAAAAAAGGGGTTTCAAATGAAAATATTGATTCGTCAAATTGTGTCTGTATGATTGCGTTACAGGTCAAAGGTCAAGATCACGAGACGTAGGTAAAGGGCATCTCGGAGCTATACCTAAAAAGAATCCTTAATACTATATCACGATAGTAGATGGCGCCAAAGGTCTCAAGCTATCTTACCAGACTAACTTAATCCCTTAACAAGTGTGAATGCCACGTCAGCCATCGGTGACTGACACAAGACTTTCTGTTTAGGCCATGTCAGTCACAAGTGACTGACACGTTCAACTATTTTTTTTATACAAAGTAACGCCTGTGGCCTGACAAGAATTTTCCTAAGAATTCGCGTGGCGCTTGAACATGTTGAAAAAGGAAATGGGGGATCTCTTTAAATTCATTTTAAAGTAAATCCTACGTGATACTCCTGTATAACATAATAATCGTATAATATTATGAGTTTCATGCTACTAAAGATATTTATATTTCTAATTTAAATTTACGAATGAGATTTTTATAGATTATTTTTATGCCAAGTATAAGAAAATCAGTTTAAATGTGTAAAAAATGAGTTTTGCAATTTCCAAATGAAAACTTTTTGAAAAAAAGGAAAAAAAAGAAGTCAAATTCATTTGAGCAAAATGTTAAATTTCTCGTGAAAGATTTGCGAAAAGGATCGATCAATCTTACGAAAAGTTTTACGATATTTTGTTTATTCGTTTATTCGTAGTTTAAAAGTTTTCCAATTTGCTTGGTTAAAGCTTAGAAAAGATCATTATTTAAACTCGTTTGTCATTGTTTAGACACGGTTGGTAACGGGTTTTCTTTTAAAGCGTAGCATCGAGATTCGTTCAAAAGCAATTTATTAATCAAGAACTTGTTTAATCGAACAAGTGATCAGCAAGCTACCGACGATCGAATAGATTCTGTATTGAAAATTAAATCGAATTTGCGTATACGTATATATATAAATATGCATTTGTGTGTGTATCTGTATTCCTTTACTGGTCTCTCAATAAATTTAAATGACCCTTCGTTAGTTTCTACCATGTTTTATTACGGGTTTCTATTAAAAAAAAAAAAGTTGGCCCTTTTGTTCGATAGAAAACCGGGGGTAGTTCGATAACTATTATTCTACTCTTGATATATAACTTTTCGTTCACGTTGAAATTGTGAAATTGAAATTACATATTTCGTTGTGAATCACTACTACGAATATATATTAAATAAATACAAACATTCCACTGTTAATAATAAAAATAATAAATGAAATGTTATAGATGAAAATGTTGATTTGAGGGTGTATAGGGTTTAAAGGAATGGTAAAAAGTAAAAGGTATGCAGTAGGAAGAAGAAGAAGAAGAAGAAGAAGCAGCAGCTTGATAAATGCGTGCCGGTGCGCTCCTAGGAACCAGTTTGGTGTTTACCTAGTAAGTAGGGTTGTCAGTCAGCTGGTTCGTTGCATCTTCGGCACTCGGTGTGTAACATCGGGTATCTCGCTCCCTCTCTTTTATTACGTTCGAGGAGAGATGGTAATGGTAGTGGTGGTGGTGGTAGCGATGGTGACGATGGTTAGGCTCAGGATTTAGTTAGGAAGGGGAAAAGGTTGATGGTAGGGATGGGTGCACGTTGGCAGTCATGCAGGGTGCGTTACCGTCGATAGAACGCGGCTTCGTTCGGACGATCAGTTGCTCTCCGACCGCTGCGGTGGAATGTTGTCGGTTCAGGAAGAACAAACCTCGCGTCGGTGAAACAATGCGATCGTAATAACTTTAGTTTAAAATAAATTTAGTTTTTAGGAAGAGTCAAGTGAACGAAATTTTATTTTTAGTTGTGTGATCAAAGTGTTTCGAACTAATGAGTGTGATTTTGTAGTGTGACTTTCAAACAACAAGTTTTTATTGTGTCTTTCTTTGTGGACACGCATTTGAAAAGAGAACGAGTCTTCGAGTATGCGCGCGTGACGATATACACTGGGGGATTAAGAAAGAAGAATACTTTTCGTATAAAATCGTCCGTCAGAAATCTGTCGAAAGATCCTCTCGATTAGATCTCGACTAGATCTCGAGAATGGAGACTAAGTTGTTACGTTCGGTGCTTGGGTTGGGTCTTTTGTGTTGGCTCCTGGGAACGAAGGAGCGTTCGGTGATTTTGGTCGACGGTAGGAGCATCACCAGTTTGGAAGCACCGACCGGTTGCGAGTGGCGTCGAGAAGAAAATGAAGAAGCCGGCGAAGAGGAGAGAACGTTGGCTTGCAACGTTAGAACTATCGCTAACGTGGCCGGTCTTCTAGGAAATCTTTCAAGTATTCAAATTGATTCCATAACTTCTTTGGGATTGGAATGCAGCGATGTACTATTCTTCGAGAGCCAATTGGAGGGATCCCGTGGTTTTCTTCCACCACTGCCAAGATTGGAAAAACTTCGGGTGGATTATTGCAAAATTCGTTACTTGCCGGCTGGTGCGTTTGCATCCGCGCAAAATCTTCGCGGCCTTTCCGTTCGCACTCACAACGGGGACTGGTCAGCTATGACCTTGGAACTGGATCGAGACGCCTTTCTCGGTCTGGCCGATCTCGAGGAGCTCGATCTCGGCGATAACAATCTTTGGACGCTACCGGCCGAACTTTTCTGTCCCGTGGCCAGTTTGTCGCGGTTGAATCTGACGCGCAACAAGTTACAGGATGCCACAGCTCTTGGTTTCGCCGATCGCTTGCATTCCTGCACGCCGAATCTTCAAAGTTTGGATTTGAGCGGCAACGATCTCGGTGCGTTGCCCGATCGCACGCTAGCCGGTTTGCCATCCTTGACCGTTCTCAAGTTGCAAGAGAACGCTATTTCCGCCGTGGGCGATCACGCCTTGGCCGGTCTTCCTAATTTGAGATCGTTGAACATTTCGAGCAACAAACTCGTCGCACTGCCACCGGAATTGTTCGCCAAAACCAAGGAACTTCGGGAGCTCATTTTGAGTAACAATTCGTTGTCGGTGCTCGCGCCCGGTCTTTTGGACGCTCTTGAGGAATTGCAATTACTCGATTTGAGCGGAAACGAACTGAACAGTCGTTGGGTCAATCGGGATACATTTTCTCGACTTGGCAATTTGCTTGTCTTGGATCTTTCCTTCAATACCTTGACGAAAATCGATTCTCGTGTATTCGAAGGACTCTACAATCTGCAGATATTGAAACTCGAGCACAACGAAATTGATATGCTCTTGGATGGATGTTTCGCATCTTTGACGAATCTTCACACGTTGACGCTCTCCCAAAATAAGATAACACGATTCGACCCCAGTCACGCGCACGGTCTCACCGCATTGGAACAACTCTTCTTGGATGGCAACAGATTGCGAGCTTTGCATCGGCGTGTATTCGCCAACTTGACCGAACTCAAGGACTTGTCGCTCAGTGGTAATTCCTTGACGGAGATACCATACGCCGTACGAGTTCTACACTCACTGAAAACCTTGGATCTTGGTAACAATCACGTGTCTAGGATTGACAACGAATCATTCGCTGGATTGAACGAGCTTTATGGATTACGTTTGGTCGACAACAAACTGGAGAACGTGTCTCGCGAGGCATTCTCAACGTTGCCAGCATTGCAGGTGCTCAATCTTGCAAACAATTTCATTCGTCACGTCGAACAGAGCGCGTTTGCGAAGAATCCCGTATTGAGAGCCATACGTTTGGATGGGAATCGATTGACGGAGATACGCGGTGCCTTTACCAGCCTTTCCACTTTGGTTTGGTTAAACGTTTCGGACAACAAGTTGTTATGGTTCGACTATAGTTATTTACCATCGAGCATCGAGTGGTTGGACATACACGCTAATCAAATAAGCGAACTTGGCAATTATTACATGGTACGGAACGCTCTCAATATCAAAATGCTCGACGCAAGTTTCAATCTCGTAACCGAAATATCTGAAGCGAACGTTCCCGACAGCGTGGAGACTTTGTTCCTCAACAACAATCGCATAAGAACCGTCGCGGCTGGAACATTTTTACGAAAGACTAATCTTCAGAAGGTAGTGTTGTATGGAAATGAAATAAAAAATATCGAAGTGGCAGCGTTGAGCTTGCAATCGGTCCCGGAGGACAGGGAAATGCCGATCTTTTACATAGGCAACAATCCCATACTCTGTGATTGTACGATGGAGTGGCTGCCGCGAATAAATGAGTTAGCTCGTTTGCGTCAACACCCGCGGGTACTCGATCTCGATTCCGTCAGTTGCGAAATGGTGCACGCGCGCGCGACACCTCGCAGACCTTTACTGTCGTTGAAATCGAAAGACTTTCTTTGCCGATACGAGGCGCATTGTTTCGCGTTATGTCATTGTTGCGATTTCGACGCGTGCGACTGCGAAATGACGTGTCCCGACAACTGTTCCTGTTATCACGATCACAGTTGGTCCAGCAACGTAGTGGATTGTTCTAACGCCGGTTACAAACGCGTACCCGAACGCATTCCAATGGACGCGACAGAAATTTATTTGGACGGCAACGAGTTGGGTGACCTAGGCAGTCACGTTTTCATCGGCAAACGACGTTTGGAGGTTTTGTATTTGAACAACAGCGGGATCGCTGCCATTCACAATCGCACGTTCAATGGAGTCAACGCGTTGCGAGTTTTACACCTGGAGGACAATTCGTTGCGAGAGCTGCGCGGCTTCGAGTTCGATCAATTGGAACGCATGTCCGAACTTTATCTCGATCACAATGCGATCGCAACCGTGGGCAATTCTACGTTCAAACGAATGAAAAATTTGGAAGTGCTGCGTTTGGACGGCAATCGAATCGTTGATTTTCGTCCGTGGGAAGCCCTGCCCAGTGTTGGCGACGGTACCAAGGTTGCTCTCGAAGGCAACGCTTGGAGCTGCGAATGCACCAACGCAGCGAGACTTCGTTCCTGGCTCGCCGAACACCGTGGTGATCCCGAGAAGATGTATTGTCGAGATGGCGTCGAGACCTTGGCCCAAGCCATGAAGAGATGCGGTGATCCGTCGACAGAAGCGGTCAGCCGCGGGATTCAAGAGATTCCTCTGTTAGGTGGAAACTTTGTGCCACTCTTAGCCGGTGCTTTGGTGGCCGTGATAGCGGTCTGCTTGTTCGTTGCCTTGGCGTTTGCCTTCCGCCAAGATGTCAGACTTTGGGCACACGCGCGTTACGGTCTGAGATTAGGCAAAATGGCTAGCGTACCTGATGAAGAACGTGACAGACTTTACGATGGTTACATCGTTTACAGCGAACGCGACGAAGATTTCGTGTCACGATTCCTAGCCGCCGAACTGGAAGCCTCCGGTCTAACCCTTTGCCTTCACTGGCGTGATTTACCTCCCTCGAGAACTCAGGAAACGGTGCCGTCCGCGGCAGCCGCTGCCAGGCGCCTCCTCGTCGTCCTTTCGCCGATTTTCCTCGCGAACGAGTGGCAACGCGTCGAATTTCGTGCCGCTTTGCGTACGGCTTTGGAAAACATCAGGCCTAGTTCGCGAAAGAGTCGAGTGGTCGTTTTGCTCGCCGCCGAGGCACCCACTCGGGATCCGGAACTTCAATTGTTGCTGACCAGTTGCACCGTCGTCGTATGGGGCGAAAAAAGGTTTTGGGAAAAACTCAGGTTCGCCATGCCCGATTCTTTGGATAAGAGGCGTCGCGACGCTGGCAAAAGGTCGAAGGATCGTTCGAAGAATCGGCGAGTGCCTGCGAGATACACGCCGGCGCCAACTTCCGCTGCCGTAGACGTCTGGAGCAACGGCAACGCTGTCAAACCCGGGGTCCTCCTAGCGCCGGTTCACACCGCACCCACGCCGACGCCCACGCAATCGACTTACGTCAGCTCGGCCTCGAGCAGGACCGAGGACGAAGACAGCGGTGCCGAGCATCAGAACAACCATCACCCTCCTCATCACCATCATCACCATCATCATCAACAACAGCAACATCCGCACAACAACTCGGCTCCTCCCAATGGGAGACCTACCAGCGTTTCATCCAGAGGCAGCCATCTTTACAGTACCATACCGGAACCCCCGGTCGTCGTGGTACCTTCCGCGCCACCCGGTGATACCTCTAACAATCCGCGTACTTATTTCGTCTAGTACCAACACAAGAGATGAGGTATTTTTTCTTCCATTACGACGTAGATTTCTGATCTACAAAACGGGGAGAAATATTTTGCCGTGGAGGATCGGATCGCGCTGGATACGCGCCAATTCTTCCAATTCGTCGACTATACCTGTGTGTGCCCTTTTTTTTATTATATTTACCATTGGGAATAGGCCCCTTTTTTATGTTGGCTCTCTTACAAACAAGAAAAACCACATTCTTTTTTTGCTCTTCATTATATTTCTTTCATCTTTCGAGATTTCGCTTTTTCTTATTAAAAGATCGGTCAACAAAATTATTTATTATTTATTATTATTATTATTATTATTATTATTATTATTATTATTATTATTATTTTGTTCTTTAATTAGCGCGCAAGAATATTTATTTTGTCACGCAGAGAATAATCTCTTACGACGGATTTAGTTCGAGGTACGAAACGCGAAGATTCGAATCGACGTTCTGCGCCTTTAATGTGTCACTGCCCTGCGAGAAAAAGAAAAAAAAAAGAAAAATGAATGAGAGATTATATAAAATTAGTAAAAATCGATTCCAATGCTCGTTCGGATCTCGTACTTCTTGCCAGAAATTATTTCCGTCCAGTGTGCGTGAGTTCTCCAAGGGGAAATGTGATTTTCGTTAATTATAGTTGGTTGGGTACCGATCGGTGGGTGCGAATTTTTTATGCGAACATTAAATCTCGACGAATAGGGGATGATGAGAAGAAAAATTGTTTTATTTTCTTTGATTACTTTCATTTCGCAACCGAATTATTATAATTTTTATTATTTCCTTGTGAAAATGACGAAAAAAGAAAAAAAAGAAAAACTTAGAAAAAAAAGAAGAGGAACACAAAATGCAACACAAAATAGGTGCGATCAAATTTTTCATTTCTTTTTGTTGTTGTTGTTGTTGTTGTTGTCTTCGTCGATGTCAGTGATAAAAGAAATTGAGAAAAATTTAACGAATAAAAAGGAAGGAAGGAAGGGAGGAAGGGAGGAAGGGATAAAACACGAACGTGACGATTAATTATCTTTTCGTAACAATATTAGGATTAGAGGATATAAAAATATATAAATATATATATAGATTGTGTAAACAAAAGTGAAAAAAGGATGATATAAAAAAAAAGACTATGGCGAGAACGTCGTTCCTAAATAAGATTCACGACCGTTCGTTCGGTGATACGGATAAATGCGACGGTCTTATAACGCTTATTAGTACGTAAGTCGAATTCTCTTGTAAATAGTGTATATCTAATTTTTGTAAATATTCAGGCGCACATTTTCGAGCACACACACACATACACACGCACACACAATCTCACAAACACATTTTACACATAAAGGATAAGATAAAATTCACTTTCTTTAATTATTTTTTTTGTTCACTGTTATTTTTCTATAATTTTGTATTTGATTTTCTAATGAAATAAATTTATTTGTCAAATTATTTTCTTTTGACAAAATTAATTGCAAGTTTGTAGTATGATTTTTTTACGTTTGCAACATTGGTATGAGAGAGTGTAATTAAATCACAGAAAATGTTGATTTAAAAAGTGATTTTTTATCGAAACCCTGATGCACACACGCGAACACAAAAACGTTGAGAGAGAAATAAATACATACAAACATATACACCGATGCGGCCAGCACATTGTATTTTAAGACTGACCGTCTCTATTTCCATCGCGATACGTCTCCTTTTTTAGGTTGTATATCGATTTGCGTTATAAATATAACAAATAAAAAAAAAAAAGAAAAATAATTCATTGTGTAATATCTCAACTGTATTGTATACTGTTGTAAATAACGCTCATCGAATCTCACCACGTATCGTGTATTTGCAGTCTGTTGTAAAATGAGTATTTAAATTAATTGCAACTTTTCATTTCAGCAAGAACAAAAAACAAAACAAAAGATAATAAAAAAAAGAATAAGAAATGAAATGAAACGAAACAAAACGAATCATGAGAAATAAAGACGTTTGTTTTATATAAACGAGTTTTCAAATTTAATTAACTATCGAATTACACATTAAGTATAATATTAAAACCTATTATTCATATATATATCCGTATAAAAAACCTTAGAGGATACGACTTAATTTACTTTGGAAGCTACTTTAAATTCGTCGAGGGTTGCGTCTTAGAAACGTCTGTGGAATGGTGGAGAGGAGGAGGAGTAGGAGTAGGAAGATGGGTGGGGACACGTTGGTTATAGTTCCTTTGGCAAAAGTCCCTACGTATGAGGTAGTAGTAGGACGAGTAAGAAGAAGAGAATTCGTCGGTGGAGGGACGTGCCAAAGGGAAAAGGGACGTTTCGGTGTGTCCAGCAAGGAGATTTAATCGAGGCAACTGTAGCAGCAGCAGCAGCAGTAACAGCAACAGCAAAAGCAGACCGGCACCGGCACACCGGCACCGGGCAAAAGAGCGGTAGCAGAGGCAACGGTAGAAACAGAAGCTTTGTTCAAAGTTTTCGAGCTCTAGTCCAACATCAACCTCCATTACGGTTGGCCAAATAAACAACGGACCGTTTTACGGAGTAACGCGAGCTGTTGGTTGGTTGGTTCGTTGGTATCCGCTTGAAAACCTTTCCAAACTCCCAACTCCTCTCCAAAGACGAGATATTAGATCGTGCCTCGTTTCCTTTTCATTCTTTATCTTCTTCTACTTTCATTTATTTCCGACTTTTTATCTTTAATTAATTTCCTAATCCTTCCCACCCATCCTTCGTTAAATGGAGACCTTCTATCGAGAATCATATTACTATTTTCAAACTACTTCAACTTTTTCTTTTTAGAATTTATTATCTTCTTTTTTTGTTTTGTTATACGTTGTTATATCAAATATTCATTTTGTTATGCAACCCTATAGATATTTTTTTCATTTAAAAAGAGAAAATTTGTTCTATTTAGATCATTTTTGTATACCCATTCACTAGTTTTTAGTTTAATCAAGAATATAAATAGTTTAAAAGGTTTAGTAGATCACATTTGAGATTTTGTTGAGTTCGCATTCGTGACAGGACAGTTTCGGTCGAATTTTGTTGAAAAGTTTTGAAGTCAGTAAGTATCCTGTAGAGTAGTAGATAGGTAGGTAGGTATCCCTTTTTGCTTCCTTCTCTTTTTTTTCTTTCTTTCTTTATTCCTTTTTGTTCCTGTTTCTCCCTCTCTCTCTCTCTCTCTCTCTCTCTTTCTCTCTCTCAGTCAGGTAGGTAGGTGGATCCGAAAATTTCTCCGTTTACTCGTCGTTGCATTGCTCCCTCCGGTCACGTAACTAAACGAGATTCGAAGGCATAAGTTACAGTTCTCTCTACGTAACTGAGCCAACCGTGAATCGCCTTTTTTAAAGAGACGAACGAGAGATGGTAGGAGAAAAAAGAGAGAGAGAGAGAGAAAGAGAGAGAGATGGATACTTAGACTAAAACCAACGTATTTGTGTGTGTATGTATGTATGTATGTATATATGTACGTATTTACCCAACGAAGTAATAGTTTTATCGAAGAAAACTCGAGGTAGCCCTGGGGGCCTTCCTCTGCTCGTTAGAATATCGGTGCACGTCCACGTTTAAAGGGGAACGTGGAACGTGGAACGTGGGAGGTTGGTCCGGCCTAACTTCTTCCGAAAATTCGATTATCCCGTTCTCAACGTTAGCTTCGATAATTTCACTTCAACTACGAAAAAGGATGTTTACTCATTTTATTTTATTTTCTATTCGTAAAACCGATAGATATTTGTATTATTTACTATTCAACCTAAATTTAATTAATCCTAGTCACATTTTTTTTCTAATAGGATTTTTCAAAGTAAGACAACATTTTTTTGTTGTTCCTATGATTTGTCTGGTGATTAAAATTTTTGTGTTTGTTTGTTTTTTGGCTTGATTTATATCAGTCTACACTACGTGTATCATAGTAATATTATTATAACTAATTAAAATAATGTACAAGGATTACAATTTGTGGAAGAAAAAAAAAGAAAAAGGGGAAGAGAGAGTTAAAGGGTATTACTTCCTCGTGGTTTTATTTTCAAGCGTAAAATATAGAAAGAGAGATTTAAAAAAGCCTTCGAGCTATGCAGAAAAGTGTGTCCTCTCGGCTATGTTAATGACAACGCGACTTTCGTATGGTCTTTCTTCCCCCTCTCTCTCTCTCTTTCTCGGCTTAATTACATTTTTACCAGACGTGCCTTCGAGCACGAATGGAACAGCAATAATGATAATAACGATAACAACAAAATGAGAGAGATTGAACGAGATGCATCACCGTAAGATGTATTTTATTTTACACAAGTAAATATACGTCAAAATATCTCATTTAGATTTCAATGTATCCCAAAAAATACAAAATTTACTTTTAATTTATTATGTTAATTATAAAAGTACTGGTTATTAATTAAACCATTAAACAATATTTTCAATCAAAATCTGAATGAATAGAAATTAAACTACATTAATAATATTTGTTTTTTTTTTGTTAATTAAAATGATCAAACAAAATTAACTTAATTTAAAATTATTCAAAAGTTATCCGATCATTATCAATCAAAATCTGAATGAATAGAAATCACATACATACACACACACACACACACACACACACACACACACACACACACACACACACACACACACACACACACACACACACACACAAACTATATTAATAATAATTTTTTTTAAATTAAAATAGATCAAATAAAATTAACCTAATTTAAGATTACAAGTTATCCTATCATTATCCAATCTTTTTATCTTTTATCTTTATATCTTTATAAGCGTATTCTCTTGAAAAAAATTTTAAACTCACATTGAATATAGGATATTTTTACAAGTAGTCGTCAAAATAAAAAAGATAAAGAGTTTTATGTTATATCCATGGTTTTCATCGAGCAATCACGGTAGTTTTCTTTATCCGATGGGAACAGTGGTTATGGGAATTGTATTAAATCGCATTCAAACTGAGTTTTCTGGTCTCTCTGAAACGTACAGCACATACACACATACACAATCAGAGAATATATCCCAGCTCGTCTTTTTCTTTATTCCATTTCTATTTCTGTATTTTTTCACTCGTTGTTTCATCAAAACGAGAACAAGCAAAGTATTTTCGTGATTTATGAAAGCTTTGCGTGCCATTTTCTCCGTCTGTTTTGCTTTAGGGACATTTGTTAGAACTAGGGGGCCAAAGTTTTTGAAAAAACAACTAGCAAAAGTGGATGGTACGTGATGAAAGGACCACCACACGAACGAGAAAAATTGGTTTTACAATTAGAAAAATTT